ATGGAGTACTGCATTGCTTGGAAATCACAGCAAATATCATCATATTTTTTGATGGTTTTGGTTTTTGAGCTATTCTAAATATTTAATCTCGTGCACTATTCTGGGGTGACTTTGGGATATGAAAGATTTTTTCGTCATGGAATTCGGCTGCTGTAGGAATAAAAATAATCTCCCCATACAAGCGTTTTTCACCAACTTCATTAAGGACTTACAAACAACTCAGTCATTACAGCATGCGGTCCGTTAGTCGGAGGATCACCAGCAACGACTGCAGGTTCCTGTGGTGTCTTCCAGAAGGAGAATTTGCCATCGACGATGTCAAACCAGTGTAAATCAGCCTTCTTTCCCTTACCCTATATGCTGGAATCACGACGATACAGCGAACCAGCACCGCCGCCGGCTCATTTCCTCTCTCAGCGTCGTCGGAGCAAAGAAGGTGAGTCCTCGATCTCTTTTTTCTCTACATGACCCTGCTTTCGACAGGTGTAACGCACGAGGGAAAACCACAGGTGTAAAGTGGTAGTTTGTCTTCCAAACAATTGGGATCACAACCATAGAAGACTGAGGTTACAATATTTTAGTTTCCGGACAAGTCACATATTTATGGGAGTTCCTGCTTCGTCTGCTTCAAGACAAGGAATACTGCCCAAAATTCATAAAGTGGATCGATCAGTCCAAGGTAAGCAAGCGATCAAGAACTTCCGAAGCAAGACCCTAGAGAAATCATTGATAGTGTTAGATTGTTAGGTCATAAAACAATAAACGAAGTAGTAAAGGAATCTGTTGGAACCAATATGCTTTTCAGTAAGCTTTTTTCACTTTTTTCATCATTTTAGTTTCTATTAATTATTGTGGAGCCAATTTTTAGTTGAGCACATTCTATTAATTTTTTGAAGAAGATAATGTATTTAAGATGACGAAAATTCACATATGAAGTACTCGTCAAACGTTTGCCGCGCTGCCTCCTGATAGTCCCGTCCTTCACCGTTTCCTCATCTTTACCTCTTTAATCTCTTTGTCTCATTCTCCACCTCACTATTCATGTGGAGTCGTCACTTACGCGGCAGAGATCTGTCATAAGGGAAGAGGATTACTATTTATTTACTACGACTTAGTAACTGTTGCAGCAGTATTCAGAAACAAGCTACAGCTATGTGAAATGAACAACTTTTCCAATAGGATGACAGTAATTAGAAAAAGAATTCAAGGAAGATAGCTCAATGAAAAAATTGGCTTTACAGTATTAACACTGTTGACGCCGCGCTATGTTTCTGCTGTTGGTGTGGGACCGCGCGCATTATTTTGACCGTGCGAGTGTGACTTGGCACCATGTCAAACGGTCTCACAAGAACTCCTTTTCTCAGGGAAGTGTGTATTTGTTATCTTGTGTGGTAGGTCTCCGATTATGCGATTTTGGCCATTTTAGCGATTCCTGTGATTTGATCATTATTCAAACATTTTTAGAAAAACTCGATAGCCCATCAACCGAAGCTTCTTTCCAGGACCACGCCTTTTGTAACAATGCCTAAGTATGGCGCATACATCACGTAAATAAGTTACCTAAAATGTTTGAAAACCAGCTTAAAAAAGACTGTGACATGACATCATGTCACACGGTCCCACGTGGCCGAAAGAGTGTGGTATGACATCATACCACACGGTCGTCAACGTGTTAAAAGCAATATAGGTGAAAAGCAA